AATTTTCAATCAGATCATGGAAGCCAGCATGGCCTGTTAGAAAATAACAACCACTGAATTGCCTACCAACTCAGCACTCTACCAGCATGGAAGTTCTGTGGTAGAGAGGATACAGAATAGAATACAGTTATTACCTCACCAAAAAGTGATGTCTGTGAACGGAAATAGACCAGTCATATAGTGATGGCAAAAGAAATATTTTAGGGGTCAGGCATGGTGGCTCACACCTGTAACCCCAGCACTTTGGGAGGCCAAGGTGGGAGGATCTCTTGAGCCCATGAGTTTGAGACCAGCCTGGGCAACATAGAGAGACCTTATCTCTACAAAAAATAAAAAATTAGCCAGGTGTGATGGCACATGCCTGTAGTCTCAGCCATTCAGGAGGCTGAGGCAGGAGGATCGCTTGAGCCCATGAGATCAAGGCTATAGTGAGCCATGATTATGCAATCCAGCTTGGGTGACAGAGTAAGACCCTGTCTCACACACACACACACACACACACACACACACAAGATTTTGAAACATTCAGTATAACATTGCTGAATATTTCTGGAAGACAGAAGAATCAGCCTGGGATACATTTCTTAAAATGGCCACTTTGAGAGACAAGGGACTGAGATGTTTTGAGTCTGCACAGAGTCACAAATGGGTCTCACAATCTGTCAGATAACAACGGTCCAAGGTAGTACTGAAGAGACTCTTCAGTCCTGTAGCTCAATGGAAACCATACTATCATGACTGGGGAATTCCTTTGCACAGCTGGTATATAGCCTTGAGTTTGTATCTACAAGAATATTAACCAATCCTATAGAAATGAAAAGAAACATGCTACTTGGCCTGGCATTTCAATACAGTTCATTAAATATGTATTAAGTGTCTGTGATGTACATGACACTCTATTAGGTAAAACATGAACCACTAAAATGTCTCCAGTAGGCAGTTATTAGGATTAGGGCTATGTGTTTACTTCCTTTGTGGTTTCCATAATGGTCCTTCAATTTCCCCAAGACTTTTTCCTCTTTTTATATTACCTCTTTTTTCCCAGTTAGAATAGAGGTTGCAAATCAATCCCAGTGAATCTCATCTTTAGGCCATTTCTACACTTAGCCAATTAGCCAAGTGTGGTGACACATGCCTTGGCACTTGGTGACCTTTTTTCTCTTCCAGTTCTGCTGACCTTCATGAGCACAGAGGTTTAGCTGCATGGCTACCCCTGAAATGTTGTTGTGTCACCTGCTAAGAGGATATAACGACTAAGACAGGACAACCTAATCACCATGATTTCCTTGCGGAAGGTCAGAACGGAAGATAAACTAGCCAACTTTAATTACAGAAGCAAAATTAGGCATTTGATGTGAAAAGAGAAATCCCAGGTGAAGGACTGAAATGGATTTATGCTGTTTGAATGTGATATATTTCTAAAATATAATTCCACTAATGGGGTTATTGCTTCTCTAGTAAATTCTTTGGGTCATATACCATCAAATTTTTCAAGTTGACTAGGCCACAACGAATCAGTGTTTACAAAGGTGATCCATTAAATCAGAGTGAGGCATGATTTTAAAAACTATGGCGAGTAGCCTTGATCCTGGGAGCTGGCAAAGAAGGCAGCAACCACTATGGCGTGGATTTGTAAGCACTAAGATGTTACTTCTATTATTGGTGGAGGGTGTCCAGGTTCCTGGCATTTTGAACAAAGAATTAGACAAAATGCACAAAGCAAGGAAAGAATAAAGCAACAAAAGCAGAGATTTATGGAAAACAAAAGTAGGCTCCACAGAATGGGAGTGACCCCAGCATGGAGGCTCAAGAGCCCCTTTACAGAATTTTCTGGGGTTTAAATACCCTTTAAAGGTTTCCCATTGATTACTTGGTGGACACCCTATGTAAATGAAGTAGTGGCCTGCAATCAGTCTGATTGGTTGCGGAAAGCAAACAATGGGAGACTGAAGTGGAGTTACAAAAGTTACACCCTATGCAAGCATCTGATTGGTCGTGGAAAGCAACCAATTAGAGGCTGAAGTGAAGTTACAAAGTTACACTCCTATGCAAATACTTCGAAAGTTCTATCTGCCATGCAGAAAAAGTTGGTGGGGGTGGAGGGCGGGGAGTTGCAAAGGGTGTAAGGAAGTAGCTTCCAGTCGTTTTGTTACTTAGGTGTGGAAAGTTGGGGTTTTCCTTTTAATTTAGTTACAGGAAGTCAGCATGAATTGACCTTAGGTTCCCTGCCCCCAGACCCTATTCTCCTGTCTCACTTCTGCCTGAAGATAACTCTCCAAGTACCTCCATCATCCCATGTAGTATCTTGATTACTTCCTTTGAAAGCGAATTGCTCAAAAATAAGCCATTAGACCTAGTGGCAATCATTCATTCATTGTTTTCCCCCAAGATTCTTATTGATCACTTACTATGTGCCAAGCATGATTCTCAGAGATGGGGATGAAAAGGTGAACAAAACTGCACTTGTCTGTCTTATGGAGCGTACATTCCAATGGAGTAGGTGGAAAGGAAACAACTAAATCAATGAAAATATACTTTCAGGTAGAGTGCAGTGCTATGAAGAAAAATAGAGTAGGATAGAGTATTAAAAGGTGGGGTAGTGGAGGCAGGGTATCTTAGGATGGTCAAGGAAGTCCCTCTAAGAAGGTGAATGTGAACAGAAACTTGAATTAAGCAAGGGTGAGTCACCTAAAGATGTGTAAGAGCAATACAGGCCAGGAGGTTCCACGAGGACATAGGTGGGAGCAATCTTGGTTTAAAGGACAATGAGGACATGAATGTGATTAGAGTAGAATAAGCAAAGGGAGTGTGGCTGGCAGCTAGGCAGTGGTCAATTTGCAGTGAGGAGTGGGGATTCTATGCAAGGACAGTAGCGAGCCATGGGATGGTGACACCTAGAGGTCCCATTCATGAATCCAGGGCATTTATTTCCCCTTTCTGAAGGAATGGAAGATTCTACCACCATTTCTACAAGATTCTATAGCCAGGCTCAGTGGCTCACACTTATAATCCCAGCACTTTGAGAAACTGAGGCAGGCAGATGGCTTGAGGTCGGGAGTTCAAGATCAGCCTGACCAAAATGGCAAAACCCTGTCTTTACCAAAAATACAAAAACTTTGCCGGGCATGGTGGCACATGCCTGTAATCCTAGCTACTCGGGAGGCTGAGGCAGGAGAACCGCTTGAATCCGGGAGGCAGAGGTTGCAGAGAGCTGAGATCCTGCCACTGCACAACAGCCTGGGCAACAGAGCAAGGCTGTCTCCAAAAAAAAAAAAAAAAAAAGGATCCTACACACACCAGCTAGTAGTTCCTGGATATCCAAGGGCAAAGGCCATTGTAATAAATCGAGGAGTAAAAAGTTTTTTAAGTCATGACCTATTCTCAATGGAATTACCTGTTGAGGAAATAATAAGATATTTGATTTCATAAAGCACTATCAGGAGGCCTTCCATGGCCACCCTGCAGAAGCTACCACCTAAGAGTCCCCATAATGTGTGAAACCCCCTCCTCCAACCCCCCCTCCCACACAAACAAACATTCAGAAAAGGACTGGACAGGGAGAAACTCCTTTACACATGGGTGCCGGAGTTTAGAACTGACACCTCACCATTAATAATATTTCCTAATTCCTCATAAAATGGAATCTTTAGAATAGATTTGATAATAAATCTAAATAATTACTTATAATAAAATGTAGACAGAACAGACAGAAACATAAGGCTGTGGCTTTTATTTTATGGTTTGAAAAGTTCTACGAGACAACATTAATTAGTAACATTCCTCAATGAACATGCAATGTAGTTTATTATAAATGGTAATTTAGAGATAATGGTGTGAACATGTTAAGTTCCAAGCAACCCATCTAAAACTCAAAGTGGAGCTCAGTATTGATGTACATTCTCCTCGAAGCCCTGAGCACAGCTTATATTTCACTCTAAATTATCTTTTTTAGCCTTTCATATCGAGACCATTTTAGCAGCATTTTTAAATAGATTACTAAAAGGGAAAGCAGACGATAAAATATGTAAAGCAAGCATTTTAGGCAAGAGTCCAGATTATATAATTCCATATGATCAGAGAGATAATCACCTGTTTTCTAAGAGGACTCATGCCTTCAGATAAAATGACAATGGATTACATCTCTTCCTTCCCACCCCACCCCCTTTGGCGTGCTTTAATTAGAAAGACACTAGTGTTGATTAAAGTCTTAGCCATACTCAATTCTTCCCTTGACCTGAAGAAAACCACAGCCATCGAGAATCTGGTGGGATACAAAACATTGTCAGTTTCATCCAAGTACACCAGTGAGCTTAAATAGAGCATCCAGGAGGTGCACTATTTACACAAGGGAAAAAAGGTGACCCCTTACATATTGATGATTTGACTCACATAATGGTCTTACCTTCTCGATCACAGCCTTGAAGTGTCAAGCACATCATTTCCATGTAGACAAGTGACATTTCCGTGCAGGAGAAGGCTAAGATAATCTTCCAGATGTAAACCAAGGACCTGCTGTCTGGGTCTTTGCATTTGTCAGTTGTGTATTTATGTGTGGGACACAGTAACTGTTGAAGCAAACCGAATTCAAGCAAACTAAAAAGCAAATCCTTGCATAGTACTTAAAGTCCAATGAGATAAAATGATGGATCAACAGGATTATTTTTGCTTAATGAAGCATTCTGGGTTTTGAGTCTCATTGGACTCAGTTTTTCAACAGGATGTTGTGCTCAAGGGCTGGAATTTGGAAATTCTACAACAGCTATATAATCAGTCAGCTCTGATTAATTTAATTGAAACAGGACTCTTGATGAAGCCCTGCTGTGCTTATAATTAAAAATTTAGAAACGGGTAGGGAGAGGGGTAAATGATGTGGGGGTTTCTTTTTCCTGTGAAATTAGCAGAGTGTATTAATTCAGAAGGTAGGCAGTTGCCTCTGATTGTATGCTTTAGTAATCTGAACCATCTGCCTCTATATACTAAGGAGTTCACCACTTTAATCCAGCTTACGGCCGACAAACCACTCTTCTCTATCAGTATGCCCTTGAATAGATGAGGCTGTGCAAAGTCCTTTGCTCTTAAATGTATTGCTGTCATTGAGAATATTTGGAGGTTTTCTCTTGGGTTTGTTTGGATTTTGTTTCTTCAGCTTTTGTCTAATTTTGGTTTTATTTTTCTGGAGCAGAGAAAATGGCTTTCCTTATGAAAAGTATGATAAGTAACCAGGTAAAGAATTTAGGATTTGGTGGTGGGTCTGAAGAAAATAAAGAAGAAGGAGGTGCATCTGATCCTGCAGCAGCTCAAGGGATGACTAGAGAGGAGTATGAGGAGTATCAAAAGCAAATGATTGAGGAGAAGTGAGTACATGCTACTTCATTTCCCTTAAAAAGCAAAGGAAATTCATTCTGGCCATACCTTCTGCAGTTCTCCAGTTTATTTCTCTTTGCTTTTTAAGATGCCTTTCCTTTTGCCGTTTACCTCTAAACCAAGGAAAGGTTGTTCTTCTAAAGTAAACAGTTCCCTAACATCAGCAGCTACTATGTTCTGTGTTCTATATTCTACATGTATGAATGGAAATGAACAATAATAAATTAATCTATATGTTGTTCTTAAAGCAGCTTAACACTTTCTGGTCTAGGCATGTTTTGACTGACCTCAATTTAATTATTTAGATGAAAAATGGTGGGTTTAACTAATAGTCTTTCTAAACTTCACCCTCCTAGCAAGTAGAAAGTCTTCAAATTGTAAGAATTCAGACCTTATACCTAGAAAAGGGCCTAAAAGAATATAGTGTAGCTTCCTTGATCTTGCATGTGAGAAAAAAAAAAAGCCCAGAAAGCATAACATGACAATTATGTCATAAGACTTGGCTTATCAAAGACTATGAATAGATTTGTGGACTGTTTAATATGGAAATTCTAAACATACAGAAAAGTAGAATAGTAGGATGAATACCCATATATACCTATGACATAAAATCAACAGCTTACAGTTTGCTATATTTGCTTACAGATTAAATAGATAGGTGGTAGATAATAGTTTTTAAAGTAAATTACAGATGCCATATACTTCACCCCTAAATACTTCAGCCACCTTCCTCCAAAAAATAAAGGCATTCTCTTGGCTATATAAAATATAACAAATATAAAATATAAGCAACATTTTAGTTGAGTATTATAGAATGTGAATATCACCAACAACTTTTCGCCACTTGAAGACTGATTCTGAAATAAATGTAATCTCTGTGTAATTTTTTAATGTTTAAGGTAGAATTAAAGTTCTTTTAATAATCAGTTAAGAAATGAAACATCAATCTATAGGTTAAATGTTTATCATATGTTTCAAAAGAAAAGTATTTCTTTTTTGCCACCTGGGCTCTTTTGCTAATGATCAATTACATAATAGTTGCCTAAGTCCTATCGCTAAGATGATTATAGGTGAAAAGGTTAATGACCTGGAGGAAACAAAGAAAGTACAAAGACTACATTTAGCGGAAACCTTGGCTATTGTATTCTTTTGAAAGAAATCATGGCTTATAAACTACCTAGAATACATTATGCTTGGTTCTACAGTAAATTAAAGTTGGTTTTTTAAAAAAATGTCAATGCAACTAGTAAAAATGATATTGGTGCTAAGACTTGGGCAAAAGAAGCAGCATTCCTTGAATATTGGCTGATTTTACCTATGGTATGCAAAACAACAAAAAGCTGTAAAAGCAAAATAAGTACTGTGTAATGGAGAATAGAAGACAAACATCAGCATCAAACATTCTCAGATCAAGAAGGCTAATGAAAACAACAATGTAGACTACAGTTGTAAGCATACAAAATATCATTTAATATGTTCAAGCAGCAGATCCGACTGCAGATAAGGCATCTATTTGATTAACTAATGTCCTAGTTTTCCTTAATTTTATATCTGGACAGATCAAAGCTCAAAATGGCCAAATCATACAGTCAATCAGTAGATTGAGTTGTCAGCTACTCAGCTTTTTGCGTACGTGTGTGTGAGAATATTATATATTTGTGTAGTCACTCAGTTTAAGAAATAGTGTCAGGACAATGGGGCATTCGGCTTCCCTATGATACAGAGGGATGACTTTCAGTCCATTGTTTGAATTTTCAAGAGTTTCTCCACCTAGAAAGCAATATGTAGTAGGCATTAAAAATAATTCATCACAAGATAAACACAGAGATAGCTACAAACAGTAGAGTATATATAATAATTAAAATGAATGTTAGCAAATAAAAGCCTCCTCCCTAAACCCATCCTCATCATTTTAGGAAGTGGGGAGATTGACTATATGAATTATAAATAAAAAACTATTTAGCAATGCACTCTAATAATGCACATTCATTTTTCTTTTCCTTCTGTGTTCAATGTGCGTGTGTGTGTGTGTGTGTGCACACCACTGTAACATTAGTACTGAAAGAGGTCTAAACATAAATAGACTATCTGGAAAGGAAATAAAACAATAGTCTGTTTATCCCTACATTTTCTCAATTATATTAATAAGTTTCTTTGCCTTACTTATGCTTCAGCAGTTTCTACAATACCATTTGTAACTTGACTCTGACGTTTGTTTTATTCAGTAATTGTTTGGACGTCTAGTATGAGCATAGCATCGTGAGGAATGTACCGAAATGGAACAGATGGGTTTTCTTCCACAGGAATTTACACTTTACGGGGAGACTAGCTAGCTGCATGTGACTATAAACGGAGCAACCAGTTTTTCTGTGTGATTTGTAGACTGGCTCTAGAGGACTGGCATCTAACTCTGTGTGGCATTAGTATCAACAAATGGATCAATGCGGTTTATAGTTATCTGATTTTCAACAAAGGCGCCAAAATAATCAGACCAGGAACGGAAAGTCTTTTCAACAAATGGTGCTAAACAACCGGAAAACATTGAACTTTGAACCCTACTTGACACTACACAAAAATTAATTTGTTATGTGTCATACACATAAACATAAAAGCCAAAATTATAAAGCTTTTCGGAAAAAAAAAGTAGGAGAATATCTTTGCAACTTGAAAGTGGATGAAGTTTTCTTTATCATGACCCAGATTGGCAATGACCTAATCAATGACCATAAAATTATTAAATGATAAATTCAACTCTAAGTTGAAAACTTTTATACGTTAAAAGATGCCATTAAGAAAATAAATGGGTAAGGCAGACTGAGAGGATATATTTGGAAAATATATCTGACAAAGGACTGGGATCTAGGAAATATGACGAACTCCTAAAACTCAATAATAAAAGCAAAAAAAAAAGGGAAAAGTTGGAACAAATACTTCAGAAAGATAGATATATGGCCAATTAGTACATGAAAATCTTACGTGAAAGTACATGAAAAGCTGCCTGATATCATTAGTTGTCTTGGAAATGGAAAAAATGTAAATCACAGTAAAGTAGCACTCCATAAATACCAGTATGACTAAAATCAAAAAGACAAAAAATATTAGATGTTGCCAAAATGTGAAACCACTAGAACTCTTGTTTCAATTGTTGAGACATAAACTAGTATGACCACTTTGGAGAAAGGTCTTGCTGTCTCTTATAAAACTAAATGTATCCCAGTAAGTCACCCTAGAACTCAGCAAATTCCATGCCTAGTTATTTACCTAGTAGAAATTAAAATAGATGTCCACAATAAAAGCTAGAACAACAATATTCAAATCAGCTTTACTCACTGTAGCCCCAAATGGGAAATGATTCCGGTGTTCATTAACAGAAAAATGACTAGACAAACGGTGATTGTATTTGTGCAAACAAGAGAATACTTACCACTCAGCAATAAAAAGGAACCAGCTACTAATACATAAAACAACAAAGTGAAATCTCAAAAGTATTTTACGCTGAGTGAAAGAGGCCTTACACAAACATGAACTGTATAGTTCCATTTTATGAAGTTCTAGAACAGGCAAAACCAATCTATGGTAGAAAAGGTGTGGTGGTTGCCTCTAGGGCTAGGGGGTAGGCCTTGATCAGGAATGGGGTTGGGAAAATTTTCCCAGGTGAGAGTAATGTTTTCTATCTTGAGAGGGTTTTGGGTTACACAGGTGTGTGCATTTTGGGGACTCTGAATGGTGTGCTTAAGAGGTTTGTGCATTGCATTGCATACAACTTTTGCTTCACAAGAAGAAAAGAGAAGCTATAAACAAACATTTCACGCTAGTTAATGACATGCATATTGAAGAGTTTGGGGGAAATGTTACTGATTTCTGCAACTTTGAAATGTATCAAAAAAGTAAAACGTGGATAAAGAGAGGAATAGATGTGATAAAAACGTACCGTGAGATGCAAATTTTAGAATCTATATGGATTTGATATTAAAATTCTTTCAACTTTTCTGTATGTTTGGAAGTTTTTACAGTAAAATGTGGGGAGAAAAGGTCTGCTGCTTGTCCACGCCACAGGTCGCTAATCTCCTGGACAGGTTACTTTATTCAGTGTCCCTCTCCAAAACTAGAAGGTTGAACTCGATGCTTTCTCATGCCCGCTCCAGACCTGACATTCTGGGGCTGGAAATGAGTTCAGAGAGCACCTGAGCCCAGGGCCTGTGATCAGTAGTTTAACCTGATCGTTTGCTGCAGCTCCTTCCTTAACACTTAGCTGTTTGCGTAATGGTGAAGATAATTTCCAAACTCAGAGTCAAGACATAGAAACCAGTTTTCACCTGAAAATAAAAACAGGGGATTTGTTTTAAGCAGATACTGCTTTCCTCAAAGATAGTTCACCAGATCCACGGGTAGAATTCCCGTTAGGCCTCACATGGGCCTAAACCAGGAAGCAGGAGGCTGTTGAGAGGCCACGAGCACTCTTTCCCCATCTCTTGCCATTGCTTCTATCTGGGCGTGACTGCTTTGTTCTTCCTCAGCAGCCAGACTACAAGGTTGGTGGAAAATGACAGCCAATGGCTACCAAGTTCATCTGTTATTTTGCCAGCCACGTTGCAAGTGTCTGTCATTCTTAGCACCAATCCTATATTTTCCAAGAAGAGATTTCATTTACTGAGCTTGGTCTAACCCCATATAGCCAGAGGGCAGGGCCGTGTATATAAATTCAGCTACCAATAAAGCACTTCTGTGGGCAGCAGGGAAGGGTGGTGGTGCTTGTGAGCTTGCAGACATCTCCAAAGGTGTCTGCTTTTGTCTGGATCATCATTAGCAGGAATGTCCATTTCAAACCAGCATAACCGTGAGTCCAATTAGATTATTCACACAGCAGGATCCCAGTCTGGCATTCTGGAAACACACCCTACCTGGTTTGGGGCTACCTCCTTCCAAACCAGGAAGAAAATGCCATGCCTAAATTGGGGTCTGGAGAGAGTAACAATGAAGGGAGACAGGTTTATATTATATCCCCCAACACCAATGGTCTTCAAAGAACTGCCTGGTTCTGGACACTGTGACCCTATTTCAGTTTGCGTAAGAATCGCTCGGGAAGCTTGCTAAAAATGTAGCTTCCCCTCCCCTGCACCCCGAGATTCTGATGCAGCAGGGCTAGGATCAGGCCCAGGAAGCTGCATTCGTCATAAGTGCACCAGGTGATTCTGAGGCTCATGGTCCTTGGCTGAACAGTCCATGGAAAACTCTACGTTGGGAATAATCACCCTGCCCCTCTCCTGGTTCACATCATAAAGAGATTCCTAGGACCAAATTGTCTTTGGGACTTAGGGGTATATACTGAAAGTTACGACAGTAGAGTGACAGACAGGCAGACGTTTGGGGACCTAGGAAAAAAATCCCATATTTCCCAAGTGTCTGCCTGCAGTGGCATCTCAGAAGGTGTAACCCAATATCTGGCTCCTCTGAGCACGGGCGGGAATGTCTTCAGCTCTCTGTATCCTTCTGATCCTTTATTCTTTAACTTTTAGGATGGAAAGAGATGCTGCATTTACACAGAAAAAGGCTGAGAGGGCATGCCTCAGAGTTCATCTCAGAGAAAAATACAGGCTCCCAAAGGTAAGACACCCTGAACACAGGAAACATCTAATCATTTCTTAATTACCAAAAAACGGGAAGTCATACTTGATTATCCACAAGGGATCATGCTGAATATATCCTAATTGTAACTGAGATGTTTGATATAGTGAAAAGGGAACTGAACGAGGAGTTCATAAAATCTTGATTCCATTTTTTAACCTAACTTCTATGAACTTCCACTGTTGCTAAAAAAAAAAATGGAGTTAATACCTATAAATGACATTTTAACATAAATTTATCTAAAGATTCTCGAACTTCTCTATGTAAATACACAATGGGGACAATAATCATAGCTGACATTGGTTGAGCTCTTTCTAGGTACCAGGCACTGTGCTTTGTGTGTATGAATTCATTTAGGTTCTGTTCATCTCTGCCTTACCATAGAGGAAACACAGGCATGAAGAAAGTAGGTACCCTCCTGCCATGGGCCAGACAGCCAGGAAAGGCAGAGCCCATGGTCCTGATTTCTATGATATTCCACCTCTATTTAAAATGAACCATCAATTGCTGGTTTGGGGAATAATGTAGTAGAGACAGTCATCACGCAGCACCATCTTATGCATCTCAGCACTGGCTGAGGATGACTGCTGTAGGCTGTGGCCGAGTGAGTCGTTGGTCTCCTGGTGGGAAGGGAATGCCTTGACATGTTGTAGAACATGTCTTAGATGTACTATTCCAGGGCTTGCATCCAGTAATGACAGAGGGCCTGTCACTTGCTACTCTGACTCATACCACCTGACTCCAGCTTTACTACCTGTCCACCTGACTAAACGACTCCACCTTCAACTTCTGGGTTGGTCATTCAACTTCATATTCCAAAGATGCACCATCCCTTAAAGAACATCTTCCATCTGGAGAAGCCAAAGGAAAAGATCCTCCAAAGGGCATGATCCCAAGTATGAGAGCCACCTCCAAATCCGGGTGGTTTAGAAAGTGCTGCTAAACCAACTCCTTCCATTGATCCCCAGCAGATCCCAAAAAAAAAACTGGTTTTTAGAAACTATAAGCATTAAACAAGGGAGAGTCCACTGTCTATTCAAGGTCACTGATGAAATCACCAAAGACTTAAACATGGTAGAGGTTGATCCCTAAGGTTCCCAAGGAACCCGGGTTCTGTTCTTAATTAGAGAAGGAAAACCCACACAAAATGTCAGCTCATTTCATCCACAACCAATGAACTTGTAAAAGAATGCTTTGCTTTTCCTATCCCACCCTCCATTCAGGTTTAATAACTTTTCCCCACTGTGCTTGCATTTTGGAAGAGTGAAGCACTTCTAAACACTGTCCTTTCCACTTTCATTGTCTGGTGAATTTCCTGAAACTCCCTGGATGTCACTGGCTCTCTTTAGCAATGTGGCCTCCCCCAGGCAGGAAACTTGACTCAGATTCATGCTGCTTCACTGAAGCTCTGGTCTCTGCTCTTGTGCCATCTGATTAAGGCACCATCAATCTTGTTGGGATGAAGCAGAAATTTCTCACACACACACACACACAAACACACACGATTGGCTGGGTGTGCATCGTCCAGAATGGTAGGACTTTTTAAAGATTTATTTTTGACAACTGTTATTCTTCTGTAGGGATCTAGGGAGAACTGGGGTTCAGTTGTGGCTCTGTAACACAGTATCACATGGTTTTAAAAAATATCCGAGTCTCTTAATTTACGCAGCAGGAATAGAAAAAAAAAATCTGAGCCTCAGTATCCTCATCTATAAAATGAGGGCTGAAGTACCTAACTTCATAGGATCTTTGTCTGAGATAATGTAATATAAAGAACCTAGTACAGCACCTGACAATAGAGCTCTTATTGTTGACATTATGATCTCTGGGCACAAAAGTCTTATTTCCTGATAATAACAACCAGGGGTCTTGAGGACTGCCAGTCCTTAGGTGTGTAATCAATGCAACAATGGAGGTTCCTGAGCCTCAAGGCCCCAAGCCTTTTATCTTTTTCTCCACTCATGGTGAATCAGCAGTCTTGCTGACTTCCAGATCCTCAGGAGTGATCACCCTTAGACTTAGCAGTAAGGTTTAAGTACTCTTCCGAGAAAAATAATTCTCAAATCTCTGTGCCAGGGTATCCTTTGAAACAAAAGCCTTTCCAACAGAAACTATGGAAAAAGGAAAAAATGATAGCCATGAAATGCACAAATCCAGGTCCTCCCCGGAGAATGATTGCGGCTATACCTGCATAGGCTACTGCTCCCTAAAGCCAGCTAGGGGGAGGGACTGACATGAAGGACGTTGATGAATAAACAGTAGAGCTTACCAGTGTCTTTCATGGCCTGGCTTACTGATGTTCATATCCCCTTTTCTATAGCTGTTTCAAATGCATAATGCATTTGAGATCCCACCTGATTTTCTCATAGACCATGAAAGAGACCATAAAGCTCATCTAATAATCTCATACCACTGCGTCATTTTATACCTGGGGAAACTGCAGCCCAGGGGGGTTAAGTAGCTTTGCAATAAGCCACATCTTCTGTGACAGACTCAGGATTGGAACTCAGGACCCACAACCATGAAAAAGAGCAGTTTGTTCACAAAAGGACTTTGACAGAGCTCCCTGTCTCAAGGCATTTGTTCTTTCTACTTCTTTTTTGTTTTTGTTTTTGTTTTTTTTTTGAGACGGAGTCTGTTGCCTGTTGCCCAGGCTGGAGTGCAGTGGCACAATCTCAGCTCACTGCAAGCTCTGCCTCCCAGGTTCACACCATTCCCCTGCCTCAGCCTCCTGAGTAGCTGGGACTACAGGCGCCCGCCACCATGCCCAGCTAATTTTTTGTATTTTTAGTAGAGATGGGGTTTCACTGTGTTAGCCAGATGGTCTCGATCTGCTGACCTTGTGATCCGCCTGCCTCAGCCTCTGAAAGTGCTGGGATTACAGGCGTGAGCTACCACGCCTGGCCTCTTTTTACTCTTAATATTTGAGCTGTTCCCCAAAATTTTAGGGCAGTTTTGAATTCCATGTGGCTTAAAAAAAATGGGAGTATATTCTTTCTCCTGTGTTGTCTAACAGTTTGACCCTAGATCTGCAAGCAGCTGTCTAAATTCCAAATACAATCCAAACAAACAGATGAGGATTTCACTTGAAAACATTGTACACACCATCATTCACTGCAGTTTACGTCCAGGCGGGGACCCCCTTCTCCAAGGGCATTTTTTGTTTGTTTAAGTTCTAGGGTACATGTGCACAACGTGCAGGTCTATTACATATGTATACATGTGCCATGTTGGTGTGCTGCACCCATTAACTCGTCATTTACATTAGGTATAGCTCCTAATGCTATCCCTCCCCCACTCCCCCACCCCACGACAGGCCCCAGTGTGTGGTGTTCCCCACGCTGTGCCCAAGTGTTCTCATTGTTCAATTCCCACCTATGCATGAGAACATGCGGTGTTTGGTTTTCTGTCCATGCGCTAGTTTGCTCAGAATGATGGTTTCCAGCTTCATCCATGTCCCTACAAAGGACATGAACTCATCCTTTTTTATGGCTGCATAGTATTCCATGGTGTATGTGTGCCATATTTTCTTAATCCAGTCTATT